AGTTTGATTGGTCAGTTTGATTGGTCTATTTGATTGGTCGAATAGACGTTAAGTTGGTTGATGTTTGAGGAGTTTGATTGGATGGTTAAATGGATGATTGGTGAGCTTGATTGGTCAGTTAGGTGGTAGGTTGGCCAAGCACACGGCAATGGGAAAGAATCGATTTTTCCAGGCATTCACTGACTGTTGCGTGTGTGTTGACGACGAGGATGATGGAGATGGTGATGATGGAATTGGAGATGGTGATGATGGAATTGGAGATGGTGATGAAGATGAAGATGACGCACCTGGTTAAGTAGCCAGAAACATTCACTTGCATACAAACATACATACATACAATCTCACACAAATGAATATTTTATTGTGTATCCTTCCTAATAAACATATTTACATACATACATACATATATACATATCCACAAACATGCACACACACACACACAACACACACACACGTACATATATACACTGGAAGTCATATCCAGCTGGAAAAATTGTGTGCATTAGAAATTTGTACACACTATTGCTAGAGTAGGTGTGTAATATATACGGTACGTATGTATGTATGTGTGTACGTACGTATGTATGTACGTTTCGTTTCGTTTCGTATGTATGTATGTATGTATGTGTATGTATGTATGTTGTATATATGGTGTATTTATTTATTTACAGACATACATACACACACACTCATACACACATGTGTACACACAAACAAACACACATACATACAGAGAGACAGCTGTGCACAAAACAGACTCTCCTTCAAAACAATAACAGTAAACGATTACAGATTCAACTCATCTTTTCAATCAGAACAATTGGTTTGGCATTAAGTGTTCAGTATTGTAGTTGTCTTCTTCATCATCACAACATCCACATCATCATCATCATCACAACATCATCTTCATCATCACAACATCATCATCATTATCCCAACAATATCATTACCATCATCGCCATCCCGACAAACAAAAGCATAACCATAATTTTCTACCAAAGAAAAGTTACTCGTCTCTTAGAATGACGTCATAAAAATAGAAAACTTTTCAATGTAAACAAACATGTCGACGATTTTTTGTCATCTTTATTGACGTCATCGTCGTAAAAGCAACCACAACAACAACAACAACAACAACAACATCAAAACTTTGTTATGAGATTTAATTAGACTCTCTAATCCAATACCTAGACAAATAACAACCTATACACTCCATAAATTCACACACAGACAAACAATCAAACATACAAACATACATACACACATACACAAACATACATACACATACATTCATACATACATACACAGATATACACATACACAGATACAAATAATTAGGAAGTTGTTTCTAAATAAAACACTTGTTTAAACACTTCATAAATTGCAGTTCTCTCAATACAAACATCAATACATACAAACATACATACATGCATACGTAAAATATACATGTATGTATATATATATATTTACATATACAATATCCCATTTACAATAAAGCAACACATATGCCCACACCTTTATAAATAAATAAATACAAACAAAAAAACAAGATACATGTGTACATATAGTTAAAAACATTTATACAAACATACATACAAATATACATACATACATACATACATACATACATACATACATACATACATACATACATACATACATACATGCATGCATACAAATATACATACATACATACATACATACATACATACATACATACATACATACATACATACATACATACATACATACATACATACATACATACATACATACATACATACATACATACATACATACATACATACATACATACATACATACATACATACATACAAATATATATACATACATACATACAAGTCTGCAGTTGCTATGGGACGGCAACGAGAACGCTGAGCATTGCCTACAAACATCCTACCTGCCTATCTGCTTGTGTTGTTGTGCTCGCGTGTGCTCTTGTAGGTGTTTGTGTGTATGTGAGTGTGTGTGTGCGTGCGTATGTGTGCATATGTGTATGTGTGTGTCCTTGTATATTTCTATTTGTTGGAAAAAAACATTTGAAATACTGTATAAGTCTGTATTTGATAATGCATATATCCAAAAGTGTGTCTGTTGGAGTTAGCTTCTATTTGTATGTGTGCGTGTATGTGTGTATGTTTGTGTGTGCATTGTGTGTACGTGTGCGTGTGTGTGCGTTTGTGTGTGCGTGTGTGTATGTGTATGCGTTAATGCGCAGTCGCAAATGAAGGTATTGAGGAGGAAAATTGTCTTCCCATCTGTTCTCTATTGCATACAATTGATGATGCTTGCGTATCTTTCTCTGTATGTACGTCTGTATGTTTGTTTGTTTGTGTGTGTATGTATTTTTGTATGTGTGTATGTTTACGTTTGTATGTTTGCGTGCTGTAAATATGTATGTCAATTTGTATATAATTTTTAAGTATGTATGTATCCACTCAAGTGTACATGCCTGTTTGTACAAATGGTTTTGTGTACA